TTTTTTGTGTTGGATCTTAAGTTTTAACTTTAAACATGTAATTCAAGCTTATTACACCGATCACATCGCTAGTAAAAGAAATGAAGTTACTTAAAGGACAAATGTTTATTTAGCGGTTGTATACAGCGCGTATATGTGATCTTAAAAATGTATTCCATTTTGATTTAATGCAATTTAAGTACACCAATTTGAAGTAAATCAATCATGTAGGTCATATATGTTTTTCAGTCATTGGAAGTTTTGGTAAAGGCTAATGATAAAGTTTGGTATATTTGGGGTATATTGGCTATATATTTACGTAATGTTAAGGTAACTGTTATACTTAATAAAATGTAATCTTTCAAAGTTACAACTGTCGAACTTTCCATTCTAATATTGATATCATTGCATGAAGCACATTGCAACATCCTAGTGTTTCAAGTCAGAGGGGGTTGCTTGAACCACATCTTTGATAAAATAACCAATCTATACATGGAAATTAAAAACAATAATTTAGATTTATCACAACCCGTTTTGAACCATCCATCATCCATGGATGGCGTTTTTTCCTATCACAGGAAATAATAGATAAAATAGAGCTATATCATGGGGGTTGTTTGAGACACCTCTTTGACAAAATAGCCGATCTATACATGAAAATTAAAAACAATAATTTAGATTCATCCAAGGATGGTGCACAGGCAATAATAGATAATATAGAGCTATCTAACTATCATTTAGTCATCATTTGTGTAGCTCTCCATACGTTAACCCATTAGAGGAATCTTGGCGTAGATGTAAGCCGGCCCCTGATTGGACGGTAGGTTGACTTGCTGGATCCAGGTTGGCCAGACGTTTCCCTTGTAGCCAATCATAGCAAAGTTACCTGAAAGAAGATTTTTAAAAAGTAAGTACAGTGACGCACTAACATACGGGGGGCGCTACAGACTTCATAGCACATTTGACGTTTGTTTAGTCATGTGTGCAAATAATTTGGTCATTTTAGACTGATGAAGGCTGTAAGGATGACCAGATATTCTATAGGGGTTTGTGAGTTTTGTTCTGTTTAATCGCAGTATATTTATCGGCAACTACAGTGTGATCGGCAACCTAGATATACCGGTGAACGCCTTTGACGAATTTGCATGGTTGTAGCATAAATCCTAAAATAAATGTCAATTTGCATCTAATTATGTTTACTGAAGGAAAACATATTTGTTTTTGCTACGTTTCCTCTTACTTCTTCCGTTCCAAAACACTGACCTCTGACCAGCTGTGCAAAGGTAAACATTATGCGTTTGCTTTGCAAATGTTACCTTTCATATTAAAAATAAAACAGCACATATGCGGAAGACTCACCTCTGTAGTCGGTTTTGACTGGCTCCTGTGCTCCGATCTCCTTCAGCGCTTTTAGACACTCATCAGCTTTTGAACTTGACTCATCACGTACCGCCACCAACACGATGGAACTATACGCAGTAAGGATAAAACGTGAGAAAATAGTATGAATGCAGACAGCAAAAAGACGCTTAAGGCTAGTAAAACCCTCGGTTTTCTGAGGAGAAATCTGAAAGCCTGCCCAAAAAGGATTCGAGAAATCGCGTATTTCACTTTGGTCCGACCTATCGTCGAGTTTGCCAGTCCCGTATGGGATCCTCACATAGTAAAGGACATAAACAGGCTAGAACAGGTGCAGCGGAGGGCCGCCCGCTGGGTTAGCCAACGCTTCAGACGCACCTCCAGCGTAAACAACATGCTGGAAGAGCTCAAGTGGATCCCACTTCGGGAGCGGCGTAGGTTGGCTAGACTTACAACGTTCTACAAGTATCACACCGGTGCACTGTGCATTAACATGCAAACAAGACCCACCCCCAATGTCCAGACAAGGGCCACTAGACAGTCACACTCTGCTGCCTACAGAGTGCCCCAAAGTAGGACCTCCTACAGACAGAACTCCTTCTTCCCGCGGACGATTCCTGACTGGAACACTCTGGACGCAGATATTGCCCTCTCCTCCTCTCTGGAGGAGTTTAGGGGCAAGCTGTGAAACCTGACCTCCTCGGCATGCACCCACCACCATAGGAAGCAGAATCTTCAAACTGCTGAAGGCGGCTTCCTCAACAGAAAGAAGAAAGACGCACACGGCAAAAACACCTAGACACACAAACACACACTCACTCACACACACACTCACACACACACACGCACACACACACATATACATAAACACACACATACATAAAAACACACACACACACACACACACACACACACATATACACATACATAAACACACACACACACACACACACACATACACACCAACACACACACACACACACACACACACACACACACACACACCAACACACGCCAATGTAGGATATATGCGTCCTTAACAGCACAGAAAATTTGGAGTATCATGCCTTACTTTACGGGAATGTCGTTCCGTATGAAGTTTGCCATGTCCAGATCAGCCTCTTCATGTCCGTAAGTGTCGAACGTCATTTTTCTGCTGACGTCACCAGACCGAGCGTCCACACTGATGACCATAAAACCCCGAAAATAGCGGTCATACCGGCCGCCATCTATCTGTAGAGAGAAAAGGGTGGACAGTGGCGACAATATAGAATATTAATGAAAAATGAATGAAAGACCTTTATTGTACGTCTGTGCTCTAACAAGCTAAGTACAGGTCATGAATAGACAAGGAAAAGGATACAGCAATGATACTTAAACTATACATACTAACGTGATCTACTATTTACATTGTTCGACTTCTTCTCGCTTCTTGACGCAGTTATAGATTGATTATTTAAGAAAATACTACAAATAATCGTGAATTAGGTGTTAGAAGTAAATGGCCAGTTTTCCTGAGGAAGACCAAAGCATCATCGGTTGAATATTTGGTGACTGTACTTCACCTGACTCGGAACGAATATTAAAACATTTTATACATGCATACATACATACTTGCATGTTTACAAAGTGCCTTTAAAGATTAAAAAATAGTATAAAGGTTGACAAAGTTATACATGTACCTCTATAAATGGTATGTGGCCTGATTGCATCTCTGACCAACCAGCGGACAGGATAGTAACTTCTAGGAAGCGCAAAGAGTCGTCGCTGACGATTGGTCCCTGCATAGACAGACATTGTTGCATGCACACTTTTACCAGAAAAGTAAAAAAAAGTTGATAAGAAAATGAAAATAAAATATTTTCGTTAGGTTGGTAGAGTATAGTATTTTAGGGTTTTCCTTTTTCAACTCAGCCACGTTTGGGATTGTGTTCTCGACGCGAAAGGGCCACCTTCATCGGCTACATATACTCACGAAAAGCAGAACTCCAATCAGAAGCTCTGAGGAAGGTGTCTGATAGGCGTCGAAACGTAAGCACTTTAGGTAAGAGGCAATATTGGCTGTATCGAAGAAAACCCCTATATCTTTTACAGAGAGTTATGAAACTTACAGGTGCCCCACAGCCTGTACAGTTGTTGGCGATGCTCTGGTAGCTCGGCATGGGGACAGTCTCTGTGGGCGTCAGGCTGTACTTAGGATAAGTGGCCGCCGTACAGTTGCTGACCTGTGTCACGGAAATGAAAAGAAACCTACAGTTGGTGTCACTGGAAAACAGACGATAATTTACAAAATGACCTAGTCTAATAAACTGGTGGATGTCCCAACTACTAAGTACCTAATACCAGCCCAGAAAAGAACAAGAAATAGCCATGTCTTCAAGTACCAGACCTATCAACCAAGGATTAAGGTGTTCAAAAATTCATTCTTTCCTAGAACTATTGCAGAGTGGAACTCGCTGTCACCAAGTACAGTAGGGGCATTGTATAGCATTAGATAGCTTTAAACAATGTTTAGAGCTAGATGTTCAAGGGTTAGGTGTAATAAGTCGTTCGGTGTGATGTAGCCATGTAGTGATACAGGTACAGACCTCGTCACCTGTCATGGTGGCCGAGATGACGACCCTCTCACAGCCCATGTGTGAGCAGTAGCTGTGGCCATCCCGGTTGAAGTGAGACCGAATCTTCAGGAACAGCAACCTGTGAATAGAAGAAATGGTTTAAAGGTTTCAAAGGTTTAGAATTCTGATTACATATGTATTGTATATAAAAAATTATCCCTGTACGACACACTATATAAACAACTGTCAAAAATGCCCCAACTTGCTGTCGTTAACCTGTTGTACGACATATGTGTTAATCTACAAACATATGTTGGAAAGCTAAGCAAAATCAACGTTTTCTGGCTCCCTGTTTTTGTTACAAATGGCCTTCTTAGAGTTCGCATTCAAACATCTGCTGGGATTTTAGCATGTTTGTTTTTATTCCGTTATGGATCTTACCCTGTGCTTTCTTCAAAATAGAAGACGTGTCCGTCTCCATGCTCCACGGCGTGTAAGGACGACACAGGGTGGATCTCCTCGTCGTGCGTGATGGCGTACGGAAACCGGCGCTCCAACTGGTACATCAGACGGAACAACGTCCCGGGAGGGTAGCAGATTCCCAGCCGGAGCCAGTCACCACTGCAGTGTTAGTAAATTTTGTCGTGTTAGCAACATTGTAGTCTGTGTAACGCAAAATCTGCTGTCGGCGGCTTTAGTGGCCCCTGTTGGGCGGCCGGCAACCATAAAGCGATTTAATTAGGCCAGCAACATTGATCATTGCCTAATACTTCACTTGTACGTAAAACACATCACTGTCACAGTGGTGTTGGAAACTTTTGTGGCGTGAGCAACACAAACCATAGTCTAATAGTTGACTGTCAAAGTAAGTAGTTACGATTGAAATGAGATGATCACTTGGACTCCAGGAAGAATAGTGTAAAGGTACAAAGCGCGAGTGGAGATCCAAATAAACCATTAAACAAACAAACAAGCAAGCAAACAAACAAACAAACTGACTTGTAGGTCGAACGTATCAAGCAAAATTCTCTCGATATTGAGCAAATTTTTGATATCTTTATCATAATAAGTTAAGCTGAGGATTAGCTATAAAGATATCATTCGCAAGTTTTTAAAAATATTTTGAATTCCTAAAACAAGCTGTGGTTACATGTGTCCTAATTTTTGGCCATATATTGAGATAAAACCACATAATATGAAATACACAAAAACGTAGCGATGAAACCAAGGAGGTTAAATACATTTAAACTCCATGATGAAACCAAACGTGTTACCTGTCGAAGTTGATCGGGTAAATCCTGAGACTCTCCGGGGCCCGGCCGTCCCAGTGGACAGTGTAGGACTTCTCTAGCATCACCACGGGCTGGTACTGCTGGTGCGAGGCGGCGCCGTACTTCAGAGGACCCGTAAACGTCATGGGCCGGTCAGGGTACTCGTCTCGGACCATGGACATCACTAAGGTGTTGGGCCATTGGGCCAGGATGAACAACTGAGAGGATTGGAAAATGCAGGAGTTGTTAATCTCCAAGCAGATCATACTGTGGCAAAGCAGTATCCATTGGCCATAGGAGTGTCCATAGTGTATCTGTAATGTATCTGTCTGTATCTGTATCTGTATCTGTATCTGTATAGCCGATGTATCTATGGCGAAGTATACCAGTCAAAAGCTGTACATACAATTTACCCGGATGTCTAAAATTCACCAACGTAACGGAAAATATCGTGCAACAACATATTCAGCACCAAGGAAAGCACCCGTTCCAAGTTCTTATCCTATCTAACCCTTGAACGTCTAACTCTAAACATTGTTTAAAGCTATCCAATGATAATGCCGCTACTGTACTTAGTGACAGTGAGTTCCACTCTGCGATAGTTCTAGGAAGGAATGTAGAACTGCCGTACCTACCTGTGCATTCTCTCCAAGCGGAGGTTGTGGGGGAATGATCGTTAGCTTTTTATATATGGCCGTTTTTTTTGTCTCTACCCCGACCACCGTCGGTGGCCGGTGACCTTCTCTGTCTAATGGATACTGTCTTGCCACCGAAAGGGATCTGCTTGGAGATTACATCCCTTTCCTGCGATAGTTCTAGGACAGAATGTGGAACTGCCGTACCAACCTGTGCATACTTCCCGCTGCAGACGTAAGCGCGCCAGTCCGGCCTCTCCACACATCCGGGGTTCCTGGTGAGGTGGTTCTCCCGCCCGACCACGTACGTGTCGGGGTATCCCGTGATGCTCCCGTCCCAGTCATGCACGATGTTGGTCTTGTCGCCGTCCCTGTCATCCGTCGCGAACCCCGGCAGTCCCCTCTCACCGACAAACACGCGGCTTTGTACCTAGTGAAGTAAAATGATAATAATAAACAACGATGTTGGTCTTGTCGCCGTCCCTGTCATCCGTCGCGAACCCCGGCAGTCCCCTCTCGCCTACAAACACGCGGACTTTGTACCTAGTGAAGTAAAATGATAATAAAGGGTTAATGCACTGCCCCGAGTTGTATATGGTGTCATAACTGCATGAGCAGCTGCCATAACCACCGAATAAACCACCGTGTGAGCGAAGCGAACGAGGTGGTTTATGAGGTGGTTATGGCAGCTGCCCATGCAGTTATGACACCATATACAACGAGGAAAAGGCAGTGCATTAAAATTATTATCATATAGCCTATCCAAACTGTCAATCAACACAATTCCTGTTTGAAATACAACAGCTTTAATATATATACATAACATAAAATATACATTCGAATATATTATACGCTTTAAAACAAATATGGATAATTTCATTTAATGCAAATTGTAGTTTAAATGAAGCTAAACAAAAAAGTTTATTGGACAGAAAAATGCTACAAAGGTTTACAGAAAGAGTCGCATGCCCCTATACCCTATAACATAATGGTATCAGCCATAACACGACATGTGCTGTTATTCCGCCATAACACCACATGTGCTGTTATCGGGAAATAACAGCACGGGTATCCGGGCCTCTGATTGGTCCACGCCGTCCGGCTATATGATAATAAAGGGTTAATGCACTGCCCCGAGTTGTATATGGTGTCATAACTGCATGAGCAGCTGCCATAACCACCGAATAAACCACCGTGTGAGCGAAGCGAACGAGGTGGTTTATGAGGTGGTTATGGCAGCTGCCCATGCAGTTATGACACCATATACAACGAGGAAAAGGCAGTGCATTAAAATTATTATCATATAGCCTATCCAAACTGCCAATCACCACAATTCCTGTTTGAAATACAACAGCTTTAATATATATACATACATAAATATACATTCGAATATATTATACGCTTTAAAACAAATATGGATAATTTCATTTAATGCAAATTGTAGTTTAAATGAAGCTAAACAAAAAAGTTTATTGGACAGAAAAATGCTACAAAGGTTTACAGAAAGAGTCGCATGCCCCTATACCCTATAACATAATGGTATCAGCCATAACACGACATGTGTTGTTATTCCGCCATAACACCACATGTGCTGTTATCGGGAAATAACAGCACGGGTATCCGGGCCTCTGATTGGTCCACGCCGTCCGGCTATATGATAATAATAAATAACGATGTTGGTCTTGTCGCCGTCCCTGTCGTCCGTCGCGAACCCAGGCAGTCCCCTCTCACCTACAAACACGCGGCTTTGTACCTAGTGAAGAACATAAGTCACAGTCCCAGTCCCAGAATTTGACCATAAATTACACTGCTTTCATCATGTTCCCGACTTACAGTATTATGCATCTGATTATGTAAACCTCAACCTAACTACTCACATCCTCCCAAATCATAGAAATTTATTCGTCTGTTCTTGAGTTATCACTATTTGTTATCCATTCATTGTCAATACTTTATTTTCATGTTACATGTACTTGCAGGTAGCCTACGGGCAAGAACTTGCAATAAACTTTCTATCATCTTTTATTTTTTTTTCACAAAAATGCCTCTTCATTTTAAAACAATTTGCTAGAGGGCCAAATCAATAATTCTCTCAAACCCTGAAGCAACAGCAAGCTAGCGATAAGAACTATTTTATGTCCTTACGTCTTCGAACCTGGCCTTGGTGACGTTGTTCCTGGGTGAGTTCTGCCAGGTGTTGTTACGGTGGAAGCCGATGGCGCTGCTCCATCTGTCGTACTGCGGCGCCTGCGCGTACTTCTTAAACGTGCAGCTCTCGGCCAGGATTGGGCCGTCGTACACGTCAAGGCCCCGCATAGGGAAGGCTCTGGAAAAAATACAAGCGTCCGGAATTCCATCATCCATTTTTAGATAAAGTATTTGTAGACCAGCTCATTCTCTAGATCTTCAATTGAACTCAACCACTGTTCTCAACATTTCTGGGATCGTTTATTTAACAACTTGTCAGTAAAAAGAGTAGTTCTAATCTTGAAAGTTCATCTGTGTTGGTAGAAGTCATTAAAAACCCAGATTGAACTGTAATTGCCAACACAAAAAAATGTGTGTGAGTCCAATTTTTGTGTGTCGGCAATTACAGTTCAATCTTGTTTCATAAAGAGTAGCTCTAAACTAATGACTAGACAAATGTTTAAACGTGCAGCTCTCCGCCAGGATCGGGCCGTCGTACACGTCAAGACCGCGCATCGGGAAGGCTCTTGGGGAGGAAACACACATTTACTTTACACAACTTTCCTCACTTAACTCAACTGAAAATGAATATTGTCTGTCCTGTATTTGTCCTCGGCGTTGGCGGCGGCATATAACAAGGTTGAAAAACTTGAATGTGCCGTCACCATGTGTTGTAATGAATTGTTGAGATGAAAGAAAACCACAACTTTCCGGCATTCCATCATCCAAATCTCTAATAAGCTACTTGTAGACAATGTCGTCCTCTTCAATCGGAATTAACCACTGACATTGTAAACTGCGTTTCAACTCTACAAATAAGCTCTCCAATTACTCACGTCACGTGCCTGTGAGGTCACGTGACGTGATTGGTCATGCGAACCTGATGAAGGCCGAACCTTGCTTGTTGTGTTAAAGCGCTGTTAAGCTTTTTATTATGTCATTCAGTAAGGCATATGATACCTAACGTCAGCATCAGTGTTATAAAGAGACTCACGTGAACTGCGGCAGGCTCCTCTCGGCGTGTCTGACGCCGCAAATGCCCCAGACCCGCGCACCCTCGGCGCTGCCCACGATCGCCCCGACAATCGAGAGGGGCTAATCACGAGTTTCGGTATTTCTTCTAATAACAAATATAGAGCTAGACTCACGCGAACTGCGGCAGGCTCCTCTCGGCGTGTTTGACGCCGCCCATTCCCCAGACCCGCGCACCCGCCGCGCTCCCGACGTTCTCGCTCTCCCCGATGAAGATGCTGTTCCACACCTGCTGGCTCGACCCCTCGTCGTTCGGAAACGTGCCTTCACTTGTGCATAGAACGGACAAACCACATCAGCAACTGATTGATTTATGAAATAAGTTAAAACTGTAATTTCCAACCAACACGAGAAATTCGACTTCCCGAATTTTCGACTGTACAGCTCCAGTCTTTGTATTGGATTTGAAAATGATAAAGGCGTTGGCTTCTTTTAAAATAAGACGAAAAAAGTATAAACATTCACTTTTTTATGGCAATATATTTAATGTCTACCTTACCTTGCCATGGTCAGTCCTACTCCGTTGTCCACGAAACTATACAAAACAACATAAGAAATTCGTTAGAAATTAGAAATATGATTTGAGTTGCTAGCTGTAACTCGATGAAACTCGGCAGAGATAAAGTGATATGACATGGGGTAAGAGGAACTACAATATTTGCAAAGCAAATGCATAATGTTTACCTTCGCATATGGTCTGCTCTGCCTTCTTACTCAAACAAATTCATATGCTAGTATTGGTCAGACAAGAGTCTAAATCCCTCCTGCTATAATATAAATTGCAACATGATGGAACCTAACAATAGTTACCATGGCAACAGACGCCTGGTTCAGGTCATTGACATTATTTGGAGAAGAAGAAGAAGAAACTGAGCAAAAACAATATGTTTTCCTTTCGGTAAACATAATGAAGAGATCTACGTACGCGCATCTGTCGAACCAGATGTCCCCTCCCCGGACCCAGGCCCCCTCTAGCCAGTTCTTGAAGGCGATAAGCCCCTCTATCATGGCCGGGACCCGCGGCTGCCGGAGGTCGGCGTTCTGGTGAGGCTTGTACCTGGGAACGACAACGCTGAATGAAGAGCTTTATTGTGCACAAATAGTCACATACCCACCGGGTTAAGTACAGGCCACAGCAAAAGGATAGAATACAGATAATGTCACATACATACATTGTCAAGTAACTACAACTTGGTAAATTCGGCATCTTCTCGTATGAACAGATATGTTTCATAATCGAAGGTTTATCTAAGTTCATTAGAAATATAAATTTGTCTGTGCTGCTTAGACGTGTCAAGGAGGGTATAAGGGAATATGAAGTAGGGAAACATTGTCAAACCGTGATGTTCAACCCATTCATTACGTCACACGTCAGGTCACGTGACCTGCGAAATGGGTCAATCTTCCTGTAGAAGACCAGAGGATCAAGTCGAAAATCTGTTGACCATGAGTCCACGCTGAAATTTCCATCGTTTTTTGTTTAAGTCAAACGATAAACCCATTCTTTATTTCAGTTGTGTTACGTGTAAGATATATAACGTTATATATATATATGACTGTTATATGCATCTGTCCGTACCGTCCATATGATCTTGCCAGGTATTCCTGCGGGTTACTCTCGGTTGGTAGACTGTACTTAACCCCATCATCTATCATTAGACCGTGCTGTGAAACAAAAAACAACATTGCTAGCTAAGAAACAGATCTAGAACAACATCAAAAACAAACAGAAGCAAACAAACAAACAACCAAACAAGCAAACAAACAAACAAGCAATAAGATCTACCTGCAATCTAATCTAAGTCTTGAAGATTTCCTCTATCTTTTTAAAGCAACTGGAGATGAATTCACATGTTATGTGGGGAGAAAATTGAAGACTTAGCAAGGCCAAAACGGCTTGAAACATCATGTTGTGTTGGAGATCCTAGATTGCTACCCACCATGCCGTTAGAGTGGACCCTGTTGTTGAAGAACCTCCCGAGCGGAGTTCTCTCGGACTCGTACATCGGCGCGGAGCCGTCTGACAGGCCGGTCGGCTTCCGGTGGAAGATGTACCAGATTCCGCCGTGCTGTAAGGATATGTCAGAATGTTAAGCCTCTGTCACACATCCAAGACCTTTATACGACTTTGGATCCCGACCACTCCCCAACCAATGTCACGTTGGCTTGGTAATAGCTTGGATTCTGTATTATTCAAGCTCCAGTCCGCTTCTCTGATTGCGTCCAAGCAAAATGAGATTTTTTTTCAACATGTACATATGTATAGTTTGTTGGCGTAGATGACTTTTGTTGATTAGTTGGCAACCTCCATGACCACCTCCAAACCACAGACGACTAACTCCCGACCATAGTCTGAAAAGGTCTGGAGGCCATGGTCGATGCAGGGTGTATGGGTATCGTCACAGATGATATTGCTACCAACACGTATGAACAGCGCATCCCGGCCCTTTTCACGAAATAAATCAAGGCATTTTTTCTCCCTTACGTTTTGCCGTATCTGAATAAGGAAAACTGTTAACTACACAAGGAAAAAATGCGAATTAACTGCAAGAAACAGAAACATCTGAGGCTCACCAGTGACCCTGCAGCGGCGTTGTTTGTCAGCACGTTGTTAGGATGAGCGATCCAGAACGTCGAAACTGCCCTGTAGATGACGAAAAGCAGTGGGCGCTACTTGAAACATCTGACGGGTTTCAAAATATGTCCAGTTGCTTGAGTAACAATTTCCTCGTCTTATCATGGAAGTTCATTTGTGTTGGTCGTCATCATAGTATTATAAGATGCTAAACGTTACCCCAACACAAAGGTAAAAGATATCAAATGAAGGCCACAGTAGTACGTTCGTCTCATTTTATCTCTTGCACCTTTGTGTTGGAATTAAGTTTAGCATCGTTCTATAAATTCCTTGAGTATCTCGTTACCTGGATGTCCAACGTTTATCGACGTGTCACTCGAAGTCAGCTACAACATCGGAAATCTTTCTCAATGAGCTGGTATAACTTACTGACAGTCCTTGTAGGGCTGCGGCACGTAATCCCCGTAGACCGCGTCCCTCATGCCCCGGCACATGCTGTCGTCCCTGTCGGTGGGAAGCAGCGTGCCAGCCCGCGTCACCAGGCCCAGGTTACGGTCCAGAACGTTCCGCTGCTCCACGCCGTCCTCCAGGAAGAAGCAGTGACCGAGGGTGTCGTACCCTACCGTGTCCTGAACCTACAGAGATGAGGAGGCAATTTTTGGTTAAATCTAACAAATATCTGTATTATTGTTCTGGCATATACACACATCAGCGTGCGTAGTCCGGTGGTTAGCGACCCTGCCTCTGGACCGAGAGGTTGGGGGTTCGATCCCAGATGTTGTCGCTCAATCACCCGACATTCACACTACTGTAAAGTGTCGCAGTCTTTAGGACGGGCCGTGGTACACTGTTCATTGTGATCGTCGAAAAGACCTAGGGGAATTTCCCCGGTACAATGTCGGTGGGAAGTAGTGTGCCCGCCCGCGTCACCAGCCCCAGGTTACGGTCCAGAATGTTCCGCTGCTCCACGCCGTCCTCCAGGAAGAAGCAGTGGCCAAGTGTGTCGTACCCAACTGTGTCCTGAACCTACAGAGATGGGGTGACACTCTTTGGTTGAATCTAATTTATAACGTGCATCGATGTATTATCGTTCCCAGCATATATACACTGTAACTGTTATGCACCAAATATATTCAGTGAAAATAAGTTTGCGGGGTCAATTCTGTTTGATCTTCAAGTGTGTCAAAAAATGCCTGAACGATTTTGTTGTCGTGAACGTTTATGTACCTGCCATACGCTGCAACAAACTACAAAATAGTCGAGAGCCATAAAGTATCACTATTCTGTATCTGTATTGGTATAGCCGGTATAACCGACCTTCCGCGTAACACATCAGCTTTGCAGGCACGCGGCACGGCAGCAGCTAGCTATATCACACCAAACGACTTGGTACACTCAATCTTTGCACATTTAATTACAGGAGATGTTTAAATCGTTCTAGTGATTTACGGCCTACGATTATTTATTTATCATACTAACCAGCAGCCCGTTGGTCCCATGTATGGTCACACAGCGGGAGAAGCAGTGGTGAATGGACAGCTCTCGGACGTACGTTGGGCGGCTGTAGCCTCCCAGTTCGTCCACGTCTCCGGCCATGTGGAAGTGGACAGGGTAGCTGCCCACCACCTGCTGTCCCATGCGGGTAAACTCCGCGCTGGACAAGTGCACGTTCTTGAACCCTCTCAGTATCTACATATTTTTACCGTAAATAAAACAACTTTTAGTTCTTCGCGGTAGTTTGCTCTGTTCCTATGACACCAACTGTAAAATTACAAGAGCCACATTCGTGGATCCTTCTAGGGACTGTAAAAAGTTGATGAAAACTATATGTATCTCTGAATAAAGAGCCTCTTTACGAAATTAAGTATATGTATATGTGTGTGTGTGTGTGTGTGTGCGCGCGCGCGCGCGTGTGTGTTTGAGTGTGTGTGTGAGTGTGTGTGTGTGTGTGTGTGTGTGTGTGTGTGTGTGTGTGTGTGTATGTGTGTGTGTGTGTGTGTGCGTGTGTGTATTTCTATTTTGACAATGTTTGTCTACTTACCTTTAGATGTCCTCCGTAAGTATCGTAGTCAAAGAACTGACAGAAGTTGTCTCCATAACAGCTGTCCTCTACCTCCCCCCGGAACCTGACGTTCCTGGTCAGCAGGCCCACCTCCCCTCGCATGTCCACCTCGTCTGAAACCTCCCCGAAGTGCGTGTACCTGGCTTTCCCTGAAAAGTCCATACAGTCCCAAAAAGTCCAAACCATTTCGAATTCCTTCACCAGTCCATACTCCTGTATATCAATTCTATCCAGTAAGACTGCTCTAGGACATTCTTGTTTACTAGTACCTGAGGCCCATAGTTAGGCATTTTGCAAAGCGTTGCCTGGGTTTTCTTTGTTTTGTATATAAGTCGATGTTCTGCCACATTGTACAAATCAGTGCAATTATAAGTAAGCTTGTTGTAACACTAACAGGAATGTTTTTTTTCACGAGGTATTAAACTGGCCATTTATATCAGGGCACTGCAACCATCCCTTGGCTAAGACGGGGGGCGCCACAGACTTTCTAGAACATCTGATCCACTGCTGAGTCATGTGTGTTCTCTGCATAACGTGACGTCACAGAAGCAGTGGATTGCCCACTCATTGACAAAGATATGAGTTGTACAGTCGAAAACTTGGGCAACTCAAGTTTCATGTGTTGGATATTACAGTTTAAAGTTGCTTTCTAAAGTGAGGTCTCGTAAGTAACACTGACAGGACTGTTTACCGTTGATTTTGACCTGGTGGGCGGAGCACTCCGGGCACGGCAGCAGCTGAAACTCCTCCGCCTGCTCCATGTCGTAGTCAGTACTGGCCAACACGATGTGGTCCCCGGGCTGCCAGGAAGTGACGTCGTCTCTCAGGTTGATGACGTAGGCTCCCGCATTTCCGTTTACCAAAAATGTGCATCGAGCCTGTCCTAGGAACCACAAAAAGTTCATTGAAGATTTACATATTCCGAGTGTAAAAAGTCAGAACATTGTTTTAGAAAAAACAACGTTTCAAAACTAGAAAGGTAACTTTTGCAAAGCAAATTCATAATGTTTACCTTCGCATATGGTCTGCTCTGTTAACTCTTACTCAAACACATTCACATATATGGTCAGGCAGGAGTCTAAATCCCTTTTGCTATAAAATTGCAACATTATGTAACCCAACACTAGTTACAATGGTGACAGATGTCTGGTTCAGGTCATTGACCTTATTGGTTTGGAGAAGAAGAAGAAGAGGAAACAGCAAAAACAATATGTTTTCCTTCGGTAAACATAAATGATCCAATCAGTTCAAAAAGATGGCAAATCAGCACCAAGGAGAGGGAAGTCTTACCTCCAACCCACTCGCTAGTGACGCCGACTTCGAAGGCGCCGAAGACGCTGTGGAACCTCGCTGATACTGCAGCCGTGCCGGTAATGTTTGTGTCTAAAACGTTAGGAAAACGCCAAAAAAGTTTTAAGATCCTTTCCTACTGGAAATCAGGTCACGTATTTGTGAAATCATCAGCACGAGAGAGATAATTGCAACTTCAACCCGTGACGTTTCATTGTAAGTTAAAAATGGCACGTATTGTAACAGTTAGGTGCTGTGAAAACGAACGTATTCTTCTTACCAACATATGCGATCCTCTGTTCAACAGCGGCGCTTGGGTCTCCCTTGACTCCAACAAACGCCCACGGGTCCCTAAAATACCGAAAAAATGCACTTAAATATCGATGGAATGGGCTGTGTGATATGAGGAAACTCTCACGTGTTGAAGAAAGTAGAAAGCCGAAAATCTGAAGAAATGCCACGTACCTATATCCGAGTGAATCCACTTCAACACTTCCTAACTCCCTAATCTTGCTCTTAGCGGAGTCCTCTAGCCATCGGGACGCTTCGTCGTTTGCCGCCAGGGCCACGATTCTTCCCGAGGGGATTCGCTCGATAAAGTCCGCCAACCGTCGGCTCTCCTCTTCGCTCTCATAAGTGTCGAAATCCGCGAGGTCCACCACGGAACCCGATGTTTCGTCAATGGCGCGAACGTTGACGCCTCGTGTCCATCTGTTGTACGAGTCGTAGTAGTACGTTCCCTGCAAGAACAAGGGTCAAGCGTTACAAAAGAAAAAGCGAAGGCCCTCCGTCACTGCAAATGTCTCCAAATCTCACGAAAATAATTTCTCAGGTTGGTAGAACATAGGTAATGGGGACTTTCTTTTGTGATGTCTCTCGCATGCTTAGCCACGTTTGGATTGTGTTCTCGCCGCAAAAGCGCCACCTACATCGGCTACATAGCGGTGAGAAGCAGCACTTCAGTTAGAAGCTCTGAGGAAGGTGTCTACCAGACTTCGGAAGGTAAGCAGATGAGAGACACTACTAGTTGTGTAAAAGAAAATCCTGAATCCAGCATCCTGTCTACAGATCTGTCTCAACGTTTGTAATAGTAAAAATTATACGTACCCTTGGAAGACCACCGGCCGGCACTGTCTGTGCGAGCTGCGTCTTGTGTACATATGGCGTTATAAGATAAGTGTGTAGCTTGAGTGTAATGCCACATTGTCCTTGTTTCTTTTGTCTACTGGTAATAAAAAAATTGCAATAAGTACCCTTGGAAGCCCGCCAGCAGGCACAGTCTGTGCGAGGTGCGTCCAGGACAGCTTCTGTTTCCCGTGGATCTCCAGCGTGCCGCCCGTCGTGACCAGGAACTGTTTGCCGTTCCTCTGCTCGTCCGAGCGCCCGTACAGGGACACCGTGGCCTGGCCCTGGTGTTGTGATATTGAGCAGAGTTAGACAACACCACTCCAACTCTCTGTATTAGCGGCAGAGTACCAAGAGGTCTCGGGTTCGAGTCCTGACATGCCACCGATCTTGTGCCCTTGGGAAAGGCACTTTACACGACTTTCCTTGCTTTGCTCAGGTGAAAATGAGCATTGCATTCTCATGCATGAGTGTTGGTGGTGGTAATATTAATATAAGTTGAAAAAAAATTGAGTGTGCCGTCACCACGTCTTGTGATTAGATGTTGGAATATATAAAAGAAGAAAAAAAAGTTCAAGAGCACATGATCACCTGGTACCGGCATGCCTCGCTCCCGATGTGGAACTCGCCGTCACTTCCCACGGTAATCTCGCGAGATCTCAGGACTATCTCACGGTCAAGGTCAGCAAACACAAGCTTTCCTAGAAGATATCATAGAAATTAGCATAGAATGAACACAGAATAAAACATGTATGGAACAAATCTAGACAAAGCATGGCTAAAAAAATGCAACATGATATAACCCAACACTAGTTAACATGGTGACAGACGTCTGGTTCAGATCATTGACCTTATTGGTTTGGAGAAGAAGAGGAAACAGAGCAAAAACAATGTTTTCCTTCGGTAAACATAAATATTTCGTAAATTGTGATAACCAGACGACTGGCATTGACATTGACGACTTACCGCCATCTTTTATTTCTAAAGAGAGAAAAGTGGCGGACGACTGGAGCAGGTAACTCTGTCCCCGTCCCACAACCACCTGCGCGGTGACGTCATGACCGGGGTTCCAGGGGGTCAAGGTCGGGTCAACATCCGGGCATTCATGTGAGTGGTCATGATGAACTGGAATGGCAAAAAGAATGAGAAAAGTGTACAACTGTAACGTTACATTCAGTAAATCGGTATCTTTTAACACGAGCCAAGTGATAGCCGTTTCATTTCATGAATCGTCAACCCATTTCTCGTTCTTTATATCCAAGGACGTTACTAGGGATGTGGTGGCAAATGTCCTTGGTGCATTCTTCTAGTTTTAAAAATTGGTACAATCAAATCTTAAATGCGCACAAACTCGTTGATAAGTGATAATGCAGGCAATGATATAACGACTGTACTCCGTGTTATTTGCGCAACGTGTTCTTTAGGTTATTGACACCCACAGTGTACAGATACTGCATGATATCGGCGTGCCGTTACTTCACCTAGTGTGATAGCTTATCTACATTAAGCCGTGGAAGCACCTGACACAATTCCCATGCAAAACTGACACATCTTACATAGCTACATGGCAACTTCAAACAATTATGCTATAGGTCCTAGCAACTGACGGCTTGTTATCACAAGTGTCGAAGATTGGAAACATTCTCAAAGAATTAATGCAAATAGAGACACGAAGATATTTTTATTTGATTCCTAGTACAACTTGCACCAAACGTCAGGGGCGTTAATTCAGCACATTCCACAAAGGAACAGTCCTTCACACGTCGCGTTTCCAATCAACGACATTGAACTCTAACCATCTACGACTGACTGCTGTTGAAATGATATTAAGGCGATGAGCTTGAGAGAAAGGCTTTCAGTTTGTCTCAGACTGTTGCATACAGCCGTGCGAAATGAATTTGTCGCCTCGACAATATATAACGTTATCCACACAGGACTCAAAAGTAAGGCGTCTCTTATGGACATTCTAATTATCAACGCTTTTTCATGCCTTCTCACCTCACATGTACACCATATGTAACGTTATTTTTTTTTACCGTAGAAGGAACATTGCAAAGATATACCTGACGTATAATATATATGTGTAAACTGTCAACGTGTCTTATGAACTTGAAATTCTGATTATCGACGCTTTTTTCATGCTTTCTACCATATACACCAGTCAATGCGTAACGTTATTTTTGTCAATGCATACAACATAATTACGAAGGCTGTAGCAAAAATTCACACGTTTTCAAAGTAGCATTCCCTCGGCTGGTTAGTTGAATGTTGCGAGTTCTGCAAAGGTTGTTTGTGGGTGGAGGAATGCGTTGCCAAGGCCGCGTAGCGGACAGAAAACTGGGCCAAGCGCCGGGCACGTAACAAGAGAACAGACTGTGATGACAGAACCAGATGTATATCGTCTCGTCTATATACAGTTCGTGATGCATGCCCACTGAAGTATGTGTGTCGCGATATAACTGCCAAATGCGAAAAGGCCTTACTTACCACCCGTTGGCCGTATGGAAGCCGCGACTGGTAGAAGCAATAGAAAGATGGTGAGATGTTGCCCCGACATTTCCCAACGATGTTCTTCTTCACACAGACTGCCGACGCATACCTGCGACCTCGGTGGCGACTCAAATCCGAACCATATAAAGTATCTGTCCGTAGTAACCGCACGCACTAGCTGTTTAACGTAACGTCACCATGCTATCGGAAGCAGTAAAGGGTACGGAAATACACGCTGTAATAGGCGCTAAGACGTATTTTTAGATCAAAGTTTGCGCACTGTGAGTCCACAACAATATGACGTCCCTGCGCTGGGCAAACACTGAGTGCCTGTCAGGGAGTGGGTCTCATTAAGGATAGCCTCTACCAGGCTTCAGACGCGGCTTGAAAGAGTAGAAATCGGTCAGATAGAGAGATATTACATGTCAGGGGAGTTTGTCCGCAACCGGTACCGAAGTACATTTTCTGGATCGGCAAACTGTACTCCGTTAGCAGACCAACTCCCCTGGTATAGCCTGTACCAGGCACAGCGGATCGCTGGAAAAGTAGTAGAAATTGGCCGAAATAAAGGGAAAGTATACTAGGGGAGTTAGCCGGCCAGAGAGGTTCCAATATGCGACCCTCCGTGGTATGTTATCTGTCTGGTAAATTTCTACTCTTTCCAGCCGCTTCTGAAGCCTGGTAGAGGCTATAGGGCAAGGAGGTTAAAGAGGCATCTTGAACATTGCAGACAAATTGGCAAGTGATGATGAGTGATTTTTGTCAGTGTAGTGTGGGGAGAATGAATCATCGGTATACTCAGCTGTTTCACTGTTGGCAACGGTGCATGATTGAAGGGCGTATTCTTGCTCGACCCATATCTGTAATTAAAAAAAATCTACACTAAAAAGTAATCTACACTGTCAATGGGGCAACACTCAATGAAACCGTGTTTTGACATTCATTGTCAACGCAACCGTTTTTGACTTAGGAAAATTGGCAAAACTGGACACTGCAGTTCACGTCCAACCCGGCAGGTTGCGCTGCTGTAATCCCCAAGCAGATTTCTTATGGGGCGCGGGTAAAGATGCTTTTATGATTATAGTTGGTACATGTACATGTACATGTACATGCAACCAGTTGGTCGCCGTCTACATTTTGTTCCGACAAACTGTACTGTCTAGTGGAATAACTTCCAGGCATGCTATCTCTCTATTTGGCTAATTTCTACCCTTTCCAGCCGCCTCCCGAAGCCTGGTAGAGGCTACTTACCTTCAGCATACTTTGTCAGTTAATTGCAGGTGATTCAATGACAGCCAGACAACAGGAGGATAGCCGGCGTTACCCGATGAAAGACGTCAACGGTGCACACACCAATTCTTCCGCGACAGGGGTCCACTGTAGTGCCCGGAAAAAAAGTGACGAAGGGGTTCCGATGGTTGATGTTTGAGTTTACATTTCTCATAATCTGCTGCAAAATGGGATTAACTACTAACATGGCTGGAAAGTGTAAGAAGTGGCGTGTTTTGGGTGAAAATTGATTTCGGGCCCGAGGCTTACTTCCGGGTGTCCTTCCGCCCTGAGCGCGGTGCTTCGGTTTGACCTAGTTTTGCCTTGTATGCGTTCTGGGGGTGCTGTAGCTATGCCTCGCGCGACGGGCTATTGCGATAATCTCAGTGTTAGGATTTTCTTTATACTTTTCTTAATAATACATAAGGGTTTTCTCTTTCCGACCATATAAGTCATATCGGTGGCTAAAATCTGGGTGATGGGTTTAATTCCACGTGAAAATGGCCAATTTTTGGCATCATTTTTCATCGAAAAATTCTTTTTCCCCCAAAAATTTACTAAAATGTGAGAGGTGAAAGAAATTGAAATTCTTTTGTTCTCGTAGCTAGAGGGATATCCTTCATTTGCAAACAGAGTGTTTTGGCTTAAGAGGTATTTCCTGAAAGAGACGGTCGCTAGAGTTGAGGGTATGCAGAATCGAATTGAGACCCAAAATAAACTGGGGTGTGCCCCCTTAATCCAACCCATCCTGCAAAAATTTGTGGCCGTGAAAGCCGGAGAATTGTTTTTTCCCACTAAAGTGCGTACCCCACGTCCAACCATAGCAAAAATAATTCGGATTTCGCAAGTTTTAAAATATTTATATAATGTCATAAAATGAGTTGATTTGCCCCCCTCCCCAC